ATGTATTTCTTGGGCCCCCGGAGTTCGTCTAACCATTCAAGGGCCCGATTGCGTTCGGATTTTCTGATCCCTTCGATCAGATCGTCTACCACTTCTTCGGCCCTAGTCCGATGGATCCAGTTTCGGAGTACGGCTATTGCCGTAGCTTCGTCCTTGGCGTCTCTGATGGCCCTCCATGTCCATTCAGTATCGAATGGTTTGAGCCATGTGGTAGGACTCTCTGTCCTTGTTCGGCCTATAGGCGTTTGAGTTCTTTTTTGCGATTCATTGGTGTGTTTGGTGAGTAACCGTGGTATATTCGAATGCGTAGTAGGAGGTGACATAGATGTAACTACAGGAACACTATTAGTCCGACTAGCGGCTATTGTTGACACACCATTAAGTCCTTTGGCCAGTCCAGTGGAATCGCTCACTGGCTGGCCCCGTCTTTTACTTCCTCGACCTTGGTTTCCTTTCCAAGGTCCTCTTCTTCCTTCTGAAGTTCGGCGATCTGGGCCCGTATGTCTTCTCGGGTTCGCTTCTTCTTCGGGCAATCTTTTGCCATGTGTCCCTTCTGCCCGCAATTGAAACATTTCCCTTCCTTCTTCATGCGATCGATATCCATCGGTTTCCCGGCCCCGGTGTAGGTTGTGCCGGTTCCGGTTTTCTGCGCGCTATATGCTGGGGTGGTGGCGCTTGAGAAGCCCGAGGTTTTTCCGGCAGTTTGCCCCGGCTTGTTCGGGGTTGGTGGGGTCGGCTTTTTGGGGAACTCCTGTAGCGTCGTTGCCTCCGCTTTCTGCCTTTGTCGCTCCTTGTACATCTTGATGATTCGTTCTTTCCACTCATCATATCCTACGGGCATCAGCATTTTGACGCCCATAGCCGAGATCATCATGAGGTACGAGGAGGGGACTCCTCGTTTGAGCGCCTCCACCATCCTTCCGTCGTTCGCCGTATCTTCCCTGATTCCGGCAAGTTTCGCGAGCCGCTCCAGCTCGTCGAAATAGTCCGTCGCCGCTTTGTCTCCCATCTTGTATTCCTTGATCTTTTGCTTGTGTACTTCTTGTACCGCGGGATCAATAAATTTGTCGTTTAGCATGCGTTTAAAGACCGGCCACGAGGGATAGCGATAATGTTCCCTGGTGGTGGATCGGAAGTTCGGGGAAATAAGAATCCACCACGTTTTGGCCTTGTCTTCCAAATAGGAGGTGGCGAAAGCGACTTTGTTCATGTCGGTCCCGATGTACCCGATATAGACCTCGAAGTACTGTTCGCAGTCCACCAGGAACCGGTCAATATCGTCGGAGGCCCCTTTGAAGGGGCGCGGCTTCCGAAGAAGATCAGGATGACATTGCAAGACGTTTGCGTTATGAGGGAGTGCCCCCATCGGGTTAGGCCATCCGTCGAATGGCGGTTGCTTCCATTCCGCGGGTGGTCCGGGGAAAGAGTGCAGAGAGTTGTCGTCAGCGATCGGGCTTCCTTTTGGATCGGTTACCCGGACGATTACTCCGTCTCGTACTGTGAAGCCGAGGCGGACCGCCTCGGGGTCGTCCCGAATGGGGTCCTTCCCACTTGATTCTGCTTGATCCGGGGGGGGTTGTCCGCCGAGAAGCCGGCTTCCCCTGCCGGTCCAAGGGTTTTGGGTGTGAACTGCCTGCCATGCCGGTCGATCCCTGGTTCGAATGAGCCGTGAAGCCGTGCTTCGGATCGACGGGTTATCGTTGGGCCGACTTCGGATGGAGGGGGCGACGTAGACGGCTCGTTTTGTCGGTGCGGGGGGGGTGCGCGGCATTGGTGCCGGTGCCTTTGTTTTATCGGGCCGATACGGGGGAATCGGCATGAGGGGGTCCTCTGGGTGCCGTCGCCCATATTCCCTCCATGCATATTCCGTTGCGGCATACTGTAAGATTTTTTCCTTTTCGGTACCTGGTGCGTACCTATACTCGAGTCCTAAGGACGTCGCTCGCCAGCGCGCGTCCTGCCATAAGTAGTTCCTGCCCTGCTCGTACAACTCCTGATACTCCTTGCCCCTGGCTCTCTCAATCTCTTCTCACAGTGCTTCTTCATCCGTGTCCTCTCCTGCTCGTTCTAGTCGTCGCCGATATGGATCATCACTGTCCTCGTCGTCCTCCTCGTCGCCCTCGTCCCCGCTGTCCCCTTCCCCGAGGAGGGAACTGACGGGCTGGTCGTAAATTGACGGTTCGAGGGGGTGAAGGGTCGTCGGGGATCCGCCCGTTGGTTTGAGTGCTAGGTCCGGCCTCCCCTCGATCACTGGTTCGTGCGATGGGAGGGCTTCGGAGTCGGCTATAGCGCGTTCCTCCGCGCGCTCTCGTCTCCTCCAGTTCTCGGCTATAGCGGCTGAAGAGTCGCTGGAACTCGGGATTGAGGAACTGTCGAGCGACCCTACTACCCAGGAATCGCTGGAGGGCCCTGTCGGAGACGTGGGCATTGTCGGGTACTCGGAGCCCGTAGGCTCCGAGGATGGAGTCGGCGTCCGACGAGATAGTGTCGGTTCGGGTGGGATATTCGAGGTCGACAGTCTGGGGTTCTCCTGTTCTTCCTCGCCGGATGGCTTCGTCCCAGCTAACAATGCTGGCGGGTCCTGTCCATGGGTCGTCCTCTGAGTCGGGCTCCCTGAAAGGGGAGCCGTTGTCGGAACGGAGCTCATACTCCCTGGGGGAAGCTGACCCCATTCTTTCGATCTCCTCTCTTCTTCTTCGCGCTCGTCCTTGTCTGTCGTATTCTGCGGCTTCATACCGCTCTCGGGCTTCTTCCTGAACATAGTCGGCGAGCTCCTCTTGAGTTCGCCTGATTGCCTCGTCTCGCTCTTGGTTCTGCTGCTGCTGCCTGACTGCTGTATCGTAGTCGAAGGGGACGCTAAGGTCCCACTCCGGGAATATTCTCTGTATGATCCTTCTCGTGGTGGCCCTCCCCCTCTCGCTGGCGGTTTCATTCTCGGGCTCGCTTCCAACGTGGAGGTGTCGGAATGGGTCGCCTGCCGCGGAGATAGCGATATCTGCGTTGTCGTAATCGGGGTGGATATCTCTCCCTCGCGGGTTGTCGACCCCCAGCCTGCTGACGGACGGGCTGGAGCCGGAATTGGGCTCGGTGGGGGTCTCGGGGGGGTTCTGGGGGGAGTCGGGACCTTCGCGGGGTCCCGCAGCCATCCGAGCGGCATCAAGGGAGTCCCTAGCACGGTTTCCAATCCCTGAGGGAATTGGGGAGGCGGGATGTTCGGGGGATCCTGCCGGAGTGACGTAGTTGGAGACCTCGGCGGGCTCCTGAGCGACGTTCGTCGTCCACGGATTCTGGAACCCTGTGAGAGTAGGGTGGCGGTTTCCGACGTGTCGTCGGGGGTGTTCTGGTCCTTCCTCCTCGTGAAGGCTCCTCTGATCTGGGTTGCTATTCCCGGCTTCTGATACGGGTCCCCCTTGTGGGAAGAAGGACGTTCTGGCGGAGGGGGGGATGTCATGGAAAGGGAGATCGGGGGTTACGTTTCGTAAAATACGTTGAATCTGCTGGAATGCTTGATAGTGCCTGACTATCCAAGCTGCTACTGATTGTCGTCCGC